AACCCATGTACATAACTGCAGGACATATCTAGCACTTGCTCAATTTCTCCTATTCTTTCATCTTCACTATTTTCTACATCCCCAATCAATACTCGTTCAACAGGATCTGCAGGGCTCATATAGGGTACTAACGATGTAGCATCACTCTCCACCATAGAGATCATGGATAACTCTTCATAATGGGCTGGTAACTTCAGTGCTCTATAAACATGGAATACCTCCACTCGGTCACCTACTCTCATCGTCATCTTTCCTTCGCAGACATCAATAATAGCTCGGCCCGTGGCTAAGAATGGACGCCCCAAAATAAATGGGACTTCCTGATCAGGCTCGTAATCCAGGATGATGAAATCAGCAGGGAATATGAAAGAACCCACTTGAACTAGCACATCTTCAATCACTCCCTCAGGATGAGCAAGGGAGCGATCAACTAACTGTAAGATAACTGTCGTTGGGCGTGGTTCACCCAACCCCAACTGTTTGAACACAGATAGCGGCATCAAATTGATGCTCGCTCCAAGATCACATAACGCTCGCCCAACAGCATATTTACCAATGGAGATGTGGATAGTGAAACTACCTGGATCTTTCAATTTCTGAGGTAACTTGACTTGAATTCTGAAACTGCACTCCTCAGTGAGTGCACAGTCTCGAACTCGGTCAGCCTCCTTTTATTTGCCACAATATCCTTGATGTACTTTGCATATTTGGGTACTTCTTGTAAGATGTCAACCAATGGAATATTAATTTGCACCTGCTTCAAGATATCAAGAAACTTTTTATATGCGGCATTGTCTCTTAATTTCTGCAATCTTTGAGGGAATGGAGGTGGTGGCCTTGCAACCAATTGTGGGGGCTGCTCAACCACCGCCTCTCCAGCTGACTTCTCTGGCTCCGTGGCTTTCTCTGATGTTGATTCTATAATGGCTGGCCTCTCATTAAAAGTCACCTGTTTCCTCTTTTTAGGAGGAACTTCCTCTAGCTGTCTCCCATTCCTAACGATACGGCATTAAGGGCCGCCTTAGGATTTGCCTCAGTGTTGCTTGGAAGAGCTCCAGCTGGTCTAGTGTTTTGAGCACTGGCAAGCTGTCCCATTTGACGCTCTAAATTTCTCACTGTCGTGGCAAGGGCTTGCTGTTCAGCTATCATTTTTTTAAACATGTCTTCAAGGTGGCTTGTAGGATTCGCTTGTTGTTCACCCTGAGGTGGTCTATATTGCTGTTGCGGTGCTTGAGGCCTATATTGATTCTGAGTGCCCTGGCTTCCACCCCAAGAGAAGTTTGGGTGGTTCCTCCAATTGGGATTGTAAGTGTTCCCATATTGATTTGCTTGGCTCCTATTTGAATTTCCCACAAAGCAGACAGACTCTGGGTTGGCGGGGCATATGTCGCTCGTGTGTCCCTCTCCACATATTTCACAAAAAGCTGGAACCTGTTGTATCGGTTGTACTTGTTGCTTGTTGATATTCAAGTTCATCTGGTTGAATTGATTGGTCAGTGTAGCAATCTGCGCTGACAATGCTGAGACGGCATCTAACTCAAAAACCCCTGCAGACTTCTACCCATCTCTCCTTGCCAATCCGGATTGCTCTTGGAGAATTCGTTCAATAATGCATATATCTCGTCAAAGCTTTTCTCCAACACTTGACCCCCAGCTGCAGCATCTACCACGATCTTCGTCTCAGAATGTAGTCCTTTTATGAAAGTGTGAGCTAACACTTCATTCGTCTGATTATGATGAGGACAGTCTCTGAGTAGCCCCTTGAACCTTTCCCAAGCCGAGTATAAAGATTCTCCAGCTTTCTGTTTGAAGGCAACTATCTCACTTCTGATCTTTGCAGTTTTGCCTGAAGGAAAGAACCTTGCCAGAAATTTTCTTGCCAAATCGTTCCATGATGTAATGGAATTTGCTGGTTCTGCCTTTAGCCATCGCTTAGCCTCACCCAACAGAGAGAATGGAAAAAGTGTGAGCCTCACATAATCTGGAGTGACCCCGTTAGTGATATAAGTATCACTAATCTCCAAGAAATTCAGAATATGCTGCTGTGGATCCTCGTGTGGAAGACCCATAAATTGCCCGTTTGCAAGCAGCTGGATCATGCTCTGTTTCAGCTCAAAGTGCCCAGTGATCCTGGGCTTCACTATGCTGGAGGTGACATTAGCAATGCTGGGCATCGCCACCTCCTGAACAGCCATGGGTTGCTCCTCTGCCATGTCCACAGGAAATTGAACAAGTTCCTAAATATTATTCGTGTCCCTTGCTTCCCTCAACCTCCTGTGAAATGTTCTCTCAGGTTCCGGATCAAAGCCTTGAAGTCGGTCCTGGCTTCTGACCCTACGCATTCAATCAAAGTTCCTGAGATCTGAGCAACAATCAAGTAACGTTAGACTCGACGAAATAAACAATTAAAGCAAAAAAAAAACTAGCAAGTAGCTAATATTAAGTCCCCGGCAACAACGCCAAAAACTTGTTGCTCCCAAACACACACGCAAGTATACGTGGTCGTACAAGTAATAAAATGATAAGTCGAGTGTCGAACCCATAGAGACTTATATCAACTACTTACTAACATACCAGTATTGTTATTCCGTCAAGCTAAATTCGAGTTCAAGAGTTCAATTATGCTACTACAATTCTAAGTAAGAACTAAATTATCAAGTAACGAGTTGATTGTTATGTATTCAGTAAAGACAAATATTCCAGGGTTGTGATCGATTCACCAATCGTATTGTGTTCTATGTAACTCTCCCTTTCATATAATTCACTCATGGTTGCTAATTAATCGATAAATGCTCTCATAGCCTTCTCCCGAAGTACTACTCGCCTATTCTCAATAGATTAACGCCTATATTCCTATGAAATCAATCTATTAAGAACGCATTAAGATTACAGTATTTAATTAAGCACAGTGATTAGGTATATTCCTATCCTAACCACAAATCCGCTCCCCCTGAGGGTTAAGATCATTCTCTCTTCAATTCTTCTCTAATCTAAACACGGCTTTCCCAAGCATAGCATAGATAGTGAATAGAACCTAACTGCTGGCCAGACAATTAAGCAATTGAACACAGAATTGGAGAAACAACCATATGTGAATGAATTATAATCAAGGTCAAGTCAATATCAAACAACAATATTCATGGCTTAATCACAACCCTAGAACAATGGGTTTTAGCCACTCATGCTAGTGTGCATCACAATTAGGTTCAATTTCATCACAAATAGCAAAAACAAAGAGAAGAAAAGAAGAACTTGACAGTCCAAACTACTCCTTGCCTCTTGCCTCCCGATTTCTTGCACTAAACTATCAAAACCTTGATGAATTGACCTTGGGCGAGCTTGACTTTATATAGGTTAAGTGGGTTTCTCTCCAGATTTCTAATTTTACCCCTAACTAGCTCTTTTCCGGACCGGCATCGCGCGAACTCGCGCGTCCTTCGCGCGTTTCTTCGCGCGATATTCTGCCTCAGCATTTTACGCGCGCGAACTACCGCGCGACTTCGCGCATTTCTTCACGCATCTGGGCCTGATTTTTTCCATTATCTTGTCTCGTCCTTGTGCGCACTCAGCTCCAAGGGGTCGTTTTTGCTCTTAAATCATTCCAATAACCTCTTGAAAGCACCATATAAGCTCCTCATCCTGCAATGTATACACACCACAATTAGAGCCTATTTTTCATCAATTAACCGTATTATGTCATTGAAATATAATTAAGCGGAAGCATAAACAATAGCTAAATCACCTAGATTTTGCCTATTATCACTTCCACCTAAGGTGCACAGAAAAGACCCAAAGTCAATATTCTTAGGGAACGGTGAAGTTTCTTAGGGTCTTTCTGTCCAAGTGCAGGTAGTTCACATCTTCACAGTCATATTTGTTTTACCTAGCCTCCTTGAGACAATGCCCAAACTGTTACGCTTTTTTCCAATTATAGCTCATATGGGCTGTAAAATATTCCTTCTCACCATCCCTATAGTGTATGAGACAAATATATGCATTCCGATTATGGTCGTATACTATGGTTACAAAAATTTTGAGGGGATAAGAAATAACATTTCAAGACCAATATATAGCAATTAATTAAAAAATAAAATTCACCAATATATTATTGGGAAAATACATAAGTTACCCCCTAAATTATGGACCAAATCCCTGTTACACACTTTTTACGGACGAAAATTATTTTACACACCCAACCTTTCCAGAGTGTGTCAAAAACACACCACTTTTTTGTTGACCAATTTTTTAAAATATGCTTGATATCATGCACCAATAAGGTCGTGACACGTGTCTTAACAAAAAAACCTTAATTTACACCTTAATTAATGATTCTTTCTTAAATAAATAAATAAAAGCATCCCCCTCCCCAACCGGTCTCTCATCTTCCCCAATTCCCACTTTTGGTCGTCTTCTATTAGAGGTTTCTCTGCCATTAAAATCACTATTGCCACCACCTTATCACCACCATTGTCATAAAAACCATCACCATCAACATTATATTTTAGAACAAAATCCATAAACACCATAACCCTATTTCTTTACGCCCAAAAACAAAAATTGCACAAAATATTCAGTTTTTTATGGCACTCTACCGGATGCCTGATCTAGAAACAAAATTATTAATCATCATCATATTAGTTGTGACATAAATCCAGCACTGGAAGGATTATAGTCAGGTAGATAGTAGAGAAAGGAACCATTATCAGCTTGTATACTCGTATTAAAGTATATTTAATTTATTATCTTCTCTCCTGCCATTGTTGAGCTTCAAAACCCAATTCTTGACCTTTGGCAAAAAAAATAAACAAAATCATCGATCCGGTGAATCTGATACTATTCTAGGTATATGATTTTAAACCACAAAGTTGCTAAGGTAAAAGAATCGGTTTCCTGTGGTAAAAGATTTGGGAAAACGTAAGAGAATTGTGACGCAAAGTAAATGAACTGATTTTAGCAGATATGAAAACAAGAAAGGGGGGGGGGGGTGTCCATCAAATCTAAAAATATTTCAGTCAATCCTGGAGGAGATGAATATTTAATTTAGAATTTATATTTAGATGTAGAATTATTTCAGTATTTCAGAACTTAATCTATGGAGAAGAGAAAGGTGAGTGTCTAGGGAGAAGGAAAATGGGTGGAGTGGTTGGCGGAGGGGGGGGGGGGTGGAAGAGACCAAATTATTTCGAGATATAATAATTAAAAATAGAAAAATAAAAAATGACTCAAAAAAATTTAAAAAATAGAAAAGGCTGGATATGTGGCATTCACATAATGGTTCTTACCCAAAAATTTACCATTCACTCGCCTCTTTTAGGTGTAAAACACGCGCGCGCCTGCTGTAAAATATGGTGTGTCTTAGGCACACTTCGAAAAGGTTAAGTGTGTAAAGTAATTTTCGTTCGAAAAAAGTGTGTAACAGGAATTTGGTCCATAGTTCAGGGGGTAAGTTATGTATTTTTCCTATATTATTAGAAGAGATGTTCAAATAAAGCTTAACATAACCATGTTTTGAGGTACTGTTCATTACCCCTTTACTGTTGCCTATTGGTTCTTTATATTTAATTTGTTAGCCCTCTCAAGTACTACTTGGTCTTATTTCTCACTACTTGGCACTATGGAAGTTCTTGATCCTTTAATAATTCACGAGACTTGGCCAGAATCAGTAAAAAAATTCCCATATGATTTTTGGGGAACTGAATACATAATTTAGCCACCTCAATTAACTGCAAAGATGGACTTGGTATGTGTAAGGACCCGACTGGTCGTTTTGCTTTTAGAACCCCGTCCCCCCCTAAATAAGACTTTCCACGCTTGCTTTAACTAATTTACGACCTTCAGGGATGGTTGGTTTGGGATTTGGAAGAGTTTTAGTTGAAATAGGCACACTTGTTTCCCTAAGATTTTCTTAAAAGGTTAAGTTTGACTTTGGTCAATATTTTTAGTAAACAGATCCGGTTCTGTATTTTGACGGTCCCGTAGCATCCGTAGGAAGATATGGGACCTAGGCGTACGCTCGGAATCCAATTCCGAGGTCCCTAACCCGAGTAATGAATTTTTGTTAGAAATTGTTAAATTGAAATTCTAAGGATTTAATAATTAAATAATGCTTGATCATATTGGTATCGGGCCCGTATGTTGGTTCTAGAGTC